GGGGGGGGGGGGAAACGCATGTGAAACTATGGCCTGAGGAAATCACTACCATATCACTTCCACTATAATCTACCTAAAGGTAAATTGCCAAAAGATGACACTTCTGGCTCAGCTTTCAGGAATTATTTTACATGACAGTATAAATGATGTAGGAGCACAATTCATTTATGTTCATTCGTTTTATTTTGAGCAGGACTTTCTGGAATGCTGGAAAGGTAAAATAACTTTTTTTTTTAAAAATTTGGGAATTAGTAACTTAATTTCTTATTTCTGTTTTTCTTACAGTACTGTGTGCAAAAAACTTGGTGAAAAAGGATTTTTTCCGTAAGTAGCTGTTAAAGTTTTATATGTTTGTAGATGAGATAAATATTATGCAGGTTCTATACATCAGTGTTTGCACATGATCGTTGTGTTATGATATTAGCATTAAGTCGGCTGGGGGCTTTGATGTTTTCACACCGTTTTATTTCAGGGCTTCTAATTTTTTCTTAGGAGACACTCGTCACAGATTCATAATAATTAAAACACTGACACACTCTCTCCGTTTTTGATGGGAGTGGGGAACAAATTTACTCTCTCAGGCAAATTACATGTTTTTCAGTTAGTGCCACATATTTATTAAAATGTTTTTCATATAGGAACTATTTGTCCAGCAGACAGATGTACATCCTAATTATTAATTATCATATCATAATACTTACCTACTCTGAAATTATATTTTAATTAATTTTAATGATGTTTTGAAAGAAGTGCTAAGAGGTGGATGAAGGAGGCAGAAAGGAATGTTATTGGCTGTGTAGGCATGCACGCACAGATCACCTGCCTGCCGCCTCCCAGTTGGGAGTAGAAAAAATTCAAAAGATCAGACCTGAACTTTGAAAAGAACTTGAAGAAGGGATGATACAGAATTATATTGTAATTTGTGATACTTCTAAAACTTGCTTTATATCTGGATTTTTGTATTGATTGCAAGTTTTCAGGTGTTTAACAGTTTAATAATGCCTAAAAAAACCCTCAAGATTTGAAATCTGTGAAGCACAAATCTCACAAGGTCTGTTCCTCCCCTTCCCCACGTGCTTTGCCTTTATCCCCACGTGCTTTGTCTGACACTTGTCTTGAACCACTCTGCTGCTTGACTGGCTCTGTCGTGAGTCACCTGAGGAAGCGGAACGGGTACAAAACTTGCGCTACAGAAAACGTGAATAATGTTTCACCGCCTTAGTTCCTTCAGCTGACTCACTGGGCACTCAGATGAGGGGAGGAATTAGTATGAGGGGAAAAAGGGACCGGACCGCGTGACTTAGGGGCGTTAGTGGTGGGACCATCCCTTTTGGTGTCAGTTAATAGGTTGGTTAGAATAGCAGTTGCAATAGAGCTAATTGTAGGCTGCTCTGGTCCTGCTTCTTTCCCGTCCTCAGCTATGTAGCACGGCATGATCTTTGCACTGATTTTTGTGGATCAGCTGCACCTTCAGTGTTCAGTGTTTCCAAGGCACTAAGCCTGCAGAAAATGAAGTAGAAAGCTAGCAGAAAACAAAGTGGGACCTCAAAAGCAAGAATAACCTGTTATAGGTGATTTCCTGTAATACCAATAACAACCAAAATTGTGATTGTATAGTCTTAAAAATAGGAAGAATGCAAGTCTGTTTTCTCTGCCTTTTGCTGAATTCCTTGTATACTGAGAATTTACTCAGTCCTGAATTAGGAAGATTAAGGTGTTCAGATTTTTTTTCCCCCAGTGTCTTTGACTTGCACAACTTTTTCTTCGTCTGTATCAGTGAAATAAATTGCCATTTCCTGTGCTTAATATGTCATGTTATTCCCATTCATTAAATACGGCTCTCATTTATGAATAAAAGGCAACTTCAAATAAAATATTAAAAAAAAAAAAATTGTGCAATGATACAAGACTTTATCTTTAAAGATACAAGATAAAGAACTGATCTATTTGCTAGGTTTTTTTTCTTTTCCTCCTCTTAGGACTTCCTGATCCATTTGCTAAAGTTGTGGTGGACGGATCTGGCCAATGCCATTCTACAGATACTGTGAAGAATACACTTGATCCAAAATGGAATCAGCATTATGACCTGTAGGTGGTAACAGTGATAACCAAAGGTTTGAAGTGAAATCCTCTAAAGTACACAGAAATTGTCAGATGTTCATAATACTGTCCTATTTACAGCTTGGAAAATATCCCAGAGTTTATTAGTTTGAGTAAAAAATACATGTGTCAAAATACCACTTTCTCATTTCTCTCAAAATCTAAACACTACACTTGGTTTTCTAGTGATGTCTGCAGCATGCTTTACATGTTCTATAGCATTATTTATTGTAATGTTTCCATGTTAACAGTTCTGTAAAATGAACCAAATGATTGACAATATTTCCCTCAAACTGTTCTTCTCTTCATGCTATTTTTGTCTGTTGCAGTGCTACAGTGGCTTTTCTTCTGTGTGCCTCTTGTTCTGTTTTCTCTCCTTTATGTCATTTTCTGTCCCAAATGTTCTTTTCACTGTAAAATATTATGTTGTTATCATCACTGGATCATCTTTCAGTGCTTTTGAGCAATATAATCGGTATGGCAAGTATATGTCATGTTTTTCCTCTGTCTTTCTAAAGCATAGAATATTCTGTATAATATAAGTTATTAAAGCTTTTCTTTTTTATATAGGTTTCTTTGTGTTTGTGCATGCTTTATTTTTCCTGTCTTTTATCCTTTTATTCTTTATCTTTTTTCTTGGGATAGAAGATGAAGAAGAGAAGTGAACAGTTTTGCCTCATTGTATTCTCCTTTCTTTCTAAGACATTGTTCTGATCTCTGTTTTTCCATGGCTCCTTTCCCTATCTATATTATCAGAAATTGTTTGAGCATATTTACGTTAGCTTTGGACATCACCAAACCTAGACCAAATCAAGTATTAGTACACAGAGAATTTCTTGTCCCTCTTTTTCCCAGTGAAGAAAAGCAGCTTGATAGGTCTTTCTCCAGAATGTGGAAGGCCTGGTTTAAAGTGGTGTCTTGACCTACTCTTTATTTGAATATCCAAGACTAAGTATGTGAAGTCATTGTTCATAATGTTTTAGTGCAGTATACAAAACATTTGCCTTACTGCTTAACAAAATATCATTGGCAATTTAGTGAAATAACAGCACTTTCACTGAGGAAAGCTATAATATTATAGTTTTATTATGCAAACTCAGTCCAAGCTTAGATTCTGCATATGAGACTGTAATTCATATTCATTAGAAAAATAGATGTAAAATAAGTTTAAGTTCATTGAGAAGGAATGGGTCTTTTTCATATTTAAAGACTTCTAAGTTAATTTGATTTTTTTAATGTTATTAAACCTATCAAAATGATGATTCGTGTAGAATGCAGATTGCAGACCTCTGCCCTTCTGTGCCCTCTCCAAGATTGACCATTTGTGAAGATCTAGCTTGAACATTTTTTTTTTTTTTCAACAGCAATTAACACTCCATGCAGTGTCCTAATGGTGAAATTCGAGAGTAGATTACACTGATCTTGCAGGTTGCAGCCACCAAAAATGGAAGGTCCCCTTTCTCTCCTGTTTTGACCCCTTTTTCCAATTTACTGCATGTGTTCATGCTGCTTCCCTTGCACTGGCACCATCTGGCTTCTGGGTACATGGATTCAATTCACTTAACCCGCAGGAAGGTAGCTGGACAGGGGGAAAAACGTGTGTAATTCCCTGCTGATTAAATGAGTTGCGCTGAGTCAGTAACGGTGTGCCTGCATTAGCGTGTTAGCTTGCATCAGGAGTGAGTTTTTGTGGTGAGTCTCTCCATCATCCCCTCTTGCTGTGTTTCAGCTTCCTTCGTGAAGCGGTCTTAGAGTACGTGAACCTGACTGCACTGGATGAAGCTGAACCACAAGGTGCATCCCCTGAGTACCACCGATGCTCTCCTGCTGCTGACAGGAATTGAAGTTGACAGGATAAGACTAGCGCGAAAGAAAAATCCCTGAAATGCGAGCATGGACTTTTATTGTTATTTAGTTAGGTGGGCCCATTAATGATCATTAATGCATAACTTTACAGGGATAAAAGGAGAGTAAGGTGGAAAGTGCTGCCAACATGATCTGAGTGTAAAGTCTTCCTATAACCTTTGTACAGCTAGGGAAGGGATATTTTTCAAAGAGGAATGGTGGGCTATCATTTGGCAGTTATCTGCTACTAAATTCTGTGTTGAAAACGTCAACAGTTCCCTGCGTCTTCCCCGGTATCTGCCAGTCGTGTCTTGGTGTTTGAAGTGCTGTGGTGACGATGTGAGTAAGCAGTTGACAGGAATGGGTTGTAAGGGATGCTAAATGCTCCATGGGCTAATGACTTGGAGACTCGATTCCCTTCTGGAGAAGCGAAGGAGCGGAGGACGTTGGAAATGAGAGAGTAATGGAGGGAAAAAAAAAAAAGTAAAATCTTTAGAAAAAATTCCTTTCTGGTTATAATTTTCAAGGAAGGATGAAGAGAAGGTATTTTTATGTTGTTTTATAGAATAAGTCATGCTTGTATCTGGATACTGTAGTTGTCTTAGCTTTGAAGCAAGACTGTGATTGCAGTCCACATCATATTATAAAAAGCAGAGATAGAAATGGGTTTCTGGCAGAATATTTTCCTTGGTCAGATTTGAGGCATCTCTTGTTGCATTGTCCTAAGGAATTTAGATCTGCGTGAAACAGTTTTTTGTGTGTCTGTGGTGTTTTGGTTTTTTTGGTTTTGTTTGTTTGTTTTTTGTTTTGGTTTTTTTGTGTGTGTGTGGTTTTTCTTGTTTGTTTGTTTTGGGGTTTTTTTGGGGTTTTGGTTTTTTTTTTTTTGCTTCTTTTTGGGGGAGAAAATACCTAAAAAACCCTAGGCTTTGTTTAATGAGGATATTATTTTCAATATAAATTACTCGTCCTGTAGGGAATACTACTTTGCTTGATTCTGGCAGTTGAATTCCCTGATGACAGAAGTATTCACAGCATTTCTAATCCAAAGAAGAATTTAGTGTTATGTCAGGCCTTGTAATTTGAAAATAATCCTCTCCCTCTCAAAATTATCTTCATAATCATTTAACCCCTTTTATCGTCTTGCCTGTTATTCCTTACTCTGTTGAAATTTATTTCCATTTATAAACATCAGTCACCTAGTCTTCAGTTCCTATTTAAAACAGCAGTAAAAGATTAGATCTCTTTGATACAACACTCACTGCCTGGCTTTTATCTTAAGGTAACTTTTAACTGTGATATACCTGGTATAAGGTCTCAGGTTTTCATCTGCACCAGATATTAAGATAATTACCTCTTACTTTTGGAAAAAAAAATAGAAAAGTAATAGGAATAGTAACCACCCTACTGCTAAGCGCCTGATGGCAAACTTCATAGATTACAGGACTTAATCGTTCTTCTCATCCTTTGAAAATAATAGGTTTTTTAAACTTCCTAATGTTTATCCTAACAACACACCATTGCATGGGAACGCTAGTCTCTGCCTTATGACGCTTCCACTCTTACAGGAAATGCTTTGCACACCAAGCATAACAGATGGAGTCTCGGTGGCAGCTTGCCTGCTCCTGCCACCACGCAGCGTAGGAGATCGACCGGAGGAAGGTGCAGTTATGTAGAATTTTTTACAAGAAAAATCCTGCTTTTTTTCCTACCATGAAGATTTGTGTTGGTTTTCAAATGACTGCAATAGGCTTATGTGCAGTAAAACTGTCTCTTGGCTGTGTTGGGTTGATTGAAGTGTCCCCAGCCTGGAATTTGTATAACAGGTTAACACTGCTGCTAATTAACAGACTCATGTATCATGTGATGGCATATGCAAATGGCACAGTAAGATGGATCTGTTGTGATGGATTTATGCAATAATGTCTGAATTAAGCTGCTAATTCCAAGGGAATTTTGTGGCTTGCTAAACTGATTCAGCATATGTCGTGGTTTAACCCCAGCCGGCAACTAAGCACCACACAGCTGCTCGCTCACTCCCCCCTGGTGGGGTGTGGGAGAGAGTTGTAAGAGTAAAAATGAGAAAACTCGTGGGTTGAGATAAAGACAGTTTAATAGGTAAAGCAGAAGACACGTGCGCAAGCAATGCAAAACAAGGAATTCATTCACTGCTTCCCATCGGCAGGCAGGTGTTCAGCCATCTCCAGGAACGCAGGGCTCCATCACGCATAACAGTGACTTGGGAAGACAAACGCCATCCCTCCGAATGTCCCTCCCTTTCTTCTTCTTCCCCCAGCTTTATATGCTGAGCATGACGTCATATGGTGTGGGATATCCCCTTGGTCAGTTGGGGTCAGCTGTCCCAGCCGTGTCCCCTCCCAACTTCTTGTGCACCCCCAGCCTCCTCGCTGGTGGGG